CGGCAGCCCCGGTAAACCTCGTCCCATGAGGAATAACGGGGCTGCCAACAAAGGGCTTTGATGTCGGCAGGGGAGCGCCCAGACTAGAGCCCCGGTAAACCTCATTCCACGAGGAATAACGGGGCTGCCGACAAAGGGCTTTGATGTCGGCAGGGGAGCGTCCAGACTAGCGTGCGAGCCGACAAACAGCTGATCAGCTGTTTGTCGGCTCAGCGCGGCAGCCATGTAAATGTAAATGAAGCCGCGATCATTTAAATCGCGGCTTCATTTGCCTTTGCCTATGTGTCTAATCTACATGCCTCTGACGACAAAGGCATGTAGTCTAGACATAGCCCCAGTGATTAGTGTGCTGCTACTTCTGGCTTTAACCAAATTGTTTTATATTTTATTATTAGAGATGTGAAGATTTAACCAGTTAACAGATAAGCCTCACCCTTCAGGTTAATTGCTGGGGCTGCTCCAGTGCAGCAGCATGCCCTGCAGGCAGGGGCTGCTCCAGCCAGGAATCTGGAGTAGGGGCAGGGCCGGCCCATAACATTTTGGCACCTGAGGCGGGGAGCTCAAATGACACACTCATGCCCCCTCGCTTGGACCAAAACTTTGAAAGGTCTCAATTCTCCCCAGCCATGTAAATGTAAATGAAGCCACGATCATTTAAATCGCGGCTTCATTTGCTTTTGCCTATGTGTCTAATCTACATGCCTCTGACGACAAAGGCATGTAGTCTAGACATAGCCCCAGTGATTAGTGTGCTGCTACTTCTGGCTTTAACCAAATTGTTTTATATTTTATTATTAGAGATGTGAAGATTTAACCAGTTAACAGATAAGCCTCACCCTTCAGGTTAATTGCTGGGGCTGCTCCAGTGCAGCAGCATGCCCTGCAGGCAGGGGCTGCTCCAGCCAGGAATCTGGAGTAGGGGCAGGGCCGGCCCATAACATTTTGGCACCTGAGGCGGGGAGCTCAAATGACACACTCATGCCCCCTCGCTTGGACCAAAACTTTGAAAGGTCTCAATTCTGTCCTCATCCTGTTCTACTCCTCTCATGGTACTGCAGAGAGAATACATATGCACCAGCAGCAGACACAATTTTCTACACTCTGGGTCCTAGTGGTGCAGCCCCCTCTCCCTCGCGGTGCACCCCCCCCTCCCTGCCCCCCCCCCCACGGTCTGGCATCTGAGGCGGCTGCCTCAGTTCTCATGGTAAGGCCAGCCCTGAGTAGGGGAGCATTTCAGATCTTTGGTTGATGAGCTGACCTGTGCACACTATTATGGGTGGAGGGAAAAGAGGGTGAGAGCATGGGGGCAGACTGAGGATAGAGACTTCAGCAGTGTTACTGTGCATGCTCAGTACAAGCCAGGCACCAAATGTGTGTGTGTGTGTGTGGGCGGGGAGGGGAGGGGAACCAACCCCATCTGCCCTTCCCCCACCATACACATCACCTCTATCCAGGGGCGACTAAGGCACTGGAAAACTCTACTTTTTTTGCTAGACAACTTAGCAGTTAGCCGACAGGAGCACTAAATCACATTCCTACATAAAAGAAAGAAAATTAAATAAATATTAGACCCACTCAGCTCTAACACTAACATATTCTGACATCTTGTGACAAATTACTTATGGGACATTGGTTAGCCTTAAATATGTAGTGTACTGTATATTCTTACTTTGATACTAACTCTGTGGAGAGAGAGACAGACCCCGTCAGGACTCCTGGACTCTCTCTTAGCTCTGGAAGGGGAGTGGAGTCTAGTGGGATATAGCAAGAGAGCAGATACATTTCAGCTATATATAAGAAGATCAGAATGGCCATACTGGGTCAGACCAATGGTCCTTCTGGCCCTGTATCCTGTCTTCCAACAGTGGCCAATGCCAGATGCTTCAGAAGGAATAAACAAAAGAGGCAATCATCATGATCCATTCCCTGTCATCCATTCCTGTCTTTTGGCAAACAGAGGCTAGAGACATCAATCCTGTGCATTCTGGCTACTAGCCATTCATGGACCTATCCTCCTTGAACTTATTTTGTTCTCATTGGAACCCTGTTATGGTTTGGCCCTTTCCACTATCTTCTGGCAAAGAGTTCCACAAGTTGACTGTGAAAAAATAATTAATTTTGTTTGTTTTAAAATTAATTGGGTCAGCTTCTTGTGTTATGTTAGTAAAGGAATGGTTAACATTTCCTTACTCTATTTTTCCGCACTATTCATTATTTTCTAGACCTCTAACATATCCCCCCACCCTTTAGTCATTTCTTTTCCAAGCTGAAAAATCCCAGTTTTGTTAATCTCTCCTCATATTAATCATTTCTCTAATAATGTCTCTTGCCCTTTCTGTACCTTTTTCAAATACAATCTGTTCTTATCAGTTTAATATCTTTTCTTAGATGTGGTGACCATATCTGCATATAGTACTGAAGATGTGGGAATACCATGACTTTATATAGAATCATGGATTTGTCTTCTTATCCATTACTTTCCTAATGATCCCCAATAGTCTGTTAGCTTTTTAGTTTTAGACAGCCACTGCACATTGAGAAGATGTTTTCAGGGAACTAACCGCAGTGATTCCAAGATCCCTTTCTTGAGTGGTAACAGCTATTTTAGATCTCATCATTTTTGTATCTATAGTTATGATTATATTTTTCCTTGTGCACTACTTTGCACTTATCAACACTAAATTCCATCTGCCCATCTGGTTTTGTGAGATCCCTTTGTAACTCTTTGCACGCAGCTTTGGAGTAGTGATTGTTAACTCCTTTTTCAAGAACATTTATAAGTTTTAGAGCAGTGATCCAAATGCAAATCCTAGCAGCCCAACACTCATTCCTACTTTTTTTCTCCTATCCTTAAGTGGAGTACCCAGCAATGTTTTCATGATGATCTAACAATCCTTCAATTGCATGAATGCCTAGCTTTTTGTTAATTGCCCTGCCTCCCTCTTTTTATAACAAACTCCCCTGCCTCAAAGGCAAAGCTGCAAGCAGCTCAAACTCTGTTGCATTTATGATCTCCTTCTGGAATCAAGGCATGCAGTTTTAATCAAACCTCAAGTATGAAATCCAGGAGTTGCAACTTCAGGGAGGCTACTACCGGGTAAATGGTACCCTTGTGCCAGAGCAGCCCCTGCCAGTGGAGTGCCTAAGCCTGTTATAGGCAGAGACACATTCTGAGGACCAGTCTCTGGCCATGTGTTAGTTAGCCAATTAAATAATATTGTTTAACTGATCAGCCAATTAAGCAGGATATTACACCCCTATTTAATACTATAGGCTCAATCCCCAAGTCCTGATTCAGACCTCAATCACCCCACTTAACAAAAATATGCATGAGGTAAAGGAAAACATTGTGTGTTAGATTCCTAACTCATTTAAGGGGCTGCAGTGTAATCCCTCTCACTTAAGGCCACACATCCCATGGGATCATCTATTGCCCCCAGGCAATCTCTGAAATTTATAGGTGTTCTCTCTTGTCCAACTGAACTGCTTTACAAGTGCTTCCTAAGGCAATGGCTTCCCTTTGATAGGGGTTTCTCCTGTTCTAGCCTTTGCCCCGCATTAGGATTCCAATCCCTGAGATTCCAATCCCCTCTGACATTTCCAGATGGTGATGAGACAGTACCATGGAGGCAGATGGCTTCTCCATGTTTTCCTCCATGCAGGGGGGAACATCTATCGAAACAGAGGATCCTTTCTGTAACCAGATAGCCATGGCATAACCTATGCTTCATTTTGTATCTGGCCCTTTTTCAGGCAATCTCCTACTAAAGAACAGCTAAAATTTCTGAAACAAGTGCATATCAGTAATGCAGCTTGCCTGGCAGAGCCTCTGTATCAATGGCTCTGGACCTGGTTGGTGCCTTTTCCAAATAGCTTGTTTTAAATGTTAGGAGGCTTTTACGCACTTGTTTCAAAGCAATAACCTGCAGAGGTGTTGCCAGAAAGCAGACCTCTGGGTCATTCATTTACAAGGGAACTAGTTCCTTTGGCCTGCTTGGGCATACCTAAAATAGAAAATGTAACCATGATCTGATGCTGTGATTAGCTAGCATGGACTAACTACAGAATCAGGGCCTTACGGTAAATGAAAAATATCAATCCCTTTACTGTGTTTGAGAAATGTATACTGAGAGCATGTAGCGTGGTTTTTCCTTTTCTGTTTCAGATAGTAGCCAGCCAGGGCTGAGGACAGAAATGCTAAACCCCTGGGAAAAGGGGAGGGGTCTCAAGCAGAAAGGTTGAGCTGGGGGTTAGGGTTAGCCTCCCCTGGCCAGCCCTTCTGCAATGCCCAGACTGCATGGATGGGGGCTCCAGCAGTGATTTCATAGGTCCCAGAGCTCCAGCGATTGCCACAGTTGCTAGAGCAGCCATGGTGGCTGGGAGCCCCAGATCCGTTTAAACTGCCAGGCCCTTGGGGCAGCTGCTCCCTTTTCTACCCTTTGTCAGAGACCCAGATTGCAGCGGTGAGTTATTATAATTAATAGGAGTGAAATGTTCAAAATGTGAGTAGAATAGACCTGTTACTTTGCAGTCATAGACTAGATGAGACTGAGATACATTTGTTTTGTAACCTCAAGCCCAGTTTGCTTTCCCCCCCCAAGTTTCCAGAGAGTAGAAGACACATTGTTTTATGTAGCTGTGTTGCTGGAAGTTCATCCCTTATGAATCACTGGTCCAAATTACATCAACCAGTCAGTTCCTAGGGAGTGTGAGAGCAGTGAGATCTGAACAGAGGCCATTGGTTACAGGACAGGTGGAAAATAAAATATTTAAATTATCAAGTAGATTTTAGATCACAAATTTGTTCTGAGCAAAAATAGAAATGCAGATTAAGCCAAGACAAAAGCCTGCTGGTAAGAAAATGAACAAATGTCTGAAGGTTTTTTGAAGCTTTCATGTATATTCTTATCAAGAATAATGATTCACTCAGCTGTACTATTCCTCAGCTTAGTTTTCACCTTTTCCTATCTCACCTCTTCCTCCCCCCTCTCCTTTTGCAGATAATAAGCTGGAGGCTTGCCTGTGGCAGGAAGGTTGCATGGATGATGCTGGGATTCCACGTAAAGAAAATGAACAGTGGATGAAGGAAGACTGCATTAGCAGTAGCTGTGAGGTATGTATTGCTGAAAGTTCTCTCTGCTATCTAGTTCTCTCTTTCCTCTGGTATCATGCCAGCTGAAGCATGTTGCAATGATGAACTAAGAAAGAAAAGTGTGCCTCACAACTGCCCATAGCTTAGTGATAATAGGGAATATAAAGCTTCTGGGGAAATGTAGTGAAGACTTGCCATAACCACCACTAAACAAAAGGACAGAATATTTCAGATGGAGTCTCTTCTACTCCTCATCTTAAATATACATACCACGGAAGAAATCTGATGTTGGTGATAGCATTTTACACTAACTTAACACCTTCACTGAATAGGTTGAAATCAGTTACAGAAGATGTGAGGCAGATTTAATGTAGTTCTATTTTTGTGATAGATAAATTCAGAAATAGGCCTACTAACAGGGAATATACATATCCTTTATGTATAGATTCGTTTATTCTAACACAAACAGTTCCATATCATTCTGAATCATATTCAGTTCTCATCATTCTCCCATGTGAAAAGAGGTGAGTTTTGGCTACACTCAGTGGCTAGTAGGTCTTTTATGTATGGTCCAGCAACAGCCCGCCATCAATTTCTGTCCACGAGTGAGGTCATGTCTGCCACCCTGAGAGAAATGCTAAATTCCATTGCATAATCTTTGACTTCAGCCACTTTAGCTCTGCCATTGGTATGCACATATTGCTTCCATGTACTCAAATTTACAATGCACATATGGCCTACATTCTACTCAAGAGTTACTCCCACAAGATAATGCTAAAGTTGTACAATAATATTTCTGCGGGTTCTGTGCATAAGACAGCTTCAGTGGGATTCACAGTGCCTATGTACATAGGGCCATCTTCATAGGGTTGAATTTCACTCCATATATGGATACAAAACTTCAGCTCCTCCATCCTTGTGTATTGAATTCATTGAATGGAATGATTTCATAGGCCTTAGATATATACACGTATGTGAATGGGACGACTTCAGCTCAATGGACTGCTGCATAAAAATGATAAGTCTTTGCAGGATTGGGGGCATCATTTTTTCCTGGACTTTACCTAATCTATAGACATTAGGTGCTTCCCCTGCTTAGGTGATTATCTGCATTTTTAGGCATCATATATCTTTGAATGTCTCACCCAAGATCTAATATGGACTTAAATATAACCAATACAAATAAATGCTTATTTTTTTACTTTAACAGGATAACTGGCCTCTTAAGTGAAAATGCAGTAGTTCAGGTATGCTCTACTTTGAATATAATGAGGAGTCATCGGAAAAAGGCAGGTAAGAACTGTCTGGGAGTGAGAGGTCACCAGGTGAGAGCGGCCAGAACCAGTGGAGTGTAAGTGGTTCCCGAGGGAAGGCAGTAAGGGCAGAAGAGGATTTTGCTGGCCAAACCAGAGCAGCAAAGCTGTGGACTGACAGCATGGGAGCAGCAAAAAGACTTACCTACTATGATCATAATGTTGGCCTCGAGGGAGTGAGGGGTGAATTAATAAAATCCCAGAAGACAGGCTGTGAGGATTTCTGCTGTTTCCAGCATGAGTGCTCCTGGCAGCATCACATAGAATGTGGGAAGGTGATTGGCCCCTGGGAGGAGGGGAACAACTGTCAGTGTCTAGAAGAGGGAAACTGAGGCAAGGAACTGCTTGCAGGGCCGTCACAAAAGGCACCTGGGAGTGATTGCCCTTTGACAGCAACTCATAGCAATGTTATGCTATGATCTTTTTATAACCCTTTTAGCACATCCCATTTTTTTTTTGTCTTATAGCAAACTCAGTTGTGAAATATAACAGACAATAAAAGGTATTTTGATTATTAGCATTGGCTTCCCTTAAGAAATAGCACAGAATGGAACTCACTTATTGTGACTTACAGTGAACTTAGATATTAAACTATTTTATAATTAATCTGAATGGAAATCTTGTCTTTTGCATAGCGGTGTGCAAATCAAACCTTTGTCAAGTGCAAGTCATTTTTTTTTAAAAAAGAAAGGCAATTCAATTAGAAAACTTTCATAATAGCTAGAACTGTTGAACAATTTTTTTTGCTCTGAGCATTGTAATTAATCTCAGAAACCTGTCAAGTTGATCTTAAAACTAGGAAAATGATCACTTATTTGTGTGCATATGTACATCATTTCATTCTATACAAGTCTGCATGACAGATACCATCTGCATATTTTTATGAACTATATTTTATATGCTGCACTGGAAAATAGCACCGTAAGAAATATTGATACTGTGCTATTCTGGTGTGTGTGTTTGGTTTTTGTTTGTTTGTTTTTGAGAAAGGAGATAATACTTTAACATTACCTTTCAGAATGGCCAAATAATCTGTACTGTAGAGACATGTCTCCTGGTAGAGTGTTTGACCCCCCACATTGTTGGAAGGAAAATGCTGTCCAGTCTGCATAGACAATGAAAACCCCATGGAATCACTATTAGAACTTAAACATGATTCGTCTGAAAAGGAGCTGCCTTTTGGATCTACTAAAGAAATGTAGCTTCCACATTCAAAAGTTACAAGCACTGCTGACTACAATACATGCACAAATTGTTTGATGTAAAAACACTGATGGAACAATCAAGTCGCTTTAAGCTTTGTACTGTGGTGGGCATATTCTATACAATTACCTTTCAACATTGCTAGATCTAATGTAAAGATGAGCAAGGCGAAGAAAGAGTATACTGAAAGCTATTTATAGTTTATTATATTTTGTAGTCTGACATAGAAAATTGTTAAATGTTAGATTCATAAATTCAATTTTAGATTTATTATCCTCTTTTTCAAGAGTCAGGGGAAAAAAGATATAAAAACATGGCATTTCTTTAAACCTTATAATTCAGCCACTGGCAAAGGCTTTCTTTTAAAATTTATACACATTTTAATACTGTAATGAGAAATGTTTTAATAATTACATTGTTCTAAAGAAAAGGGTTACAGAAAAGACATTTGCACTTGACCTGCATGGTTCTGTTTTTAGTTGTTTTTGTTCTGAGTGGTATTATATTATGGGGAAACAATTTGGTTTCCTTTTACAAGACTATATTCTGATGCCATGTTCGCTTTATGGAGCTTGGGTTTTCGCAAAATCAAAATGAAAAAGAAGCATAGCACAGTTCTTTGCAATCTCATCATGTTTAGACTCTGATTGGAAATGCAAAGCACATCTCAGGTATCTTTCCATGTATGCACATGTCTTCAATAGGGGATAAAGAATATATGAGTGCAATGTAATTTGCCAGGAAGTTATTTGTACTTCTTTTTCCATTCTGCATGTATCTCTGACTGGCATCAGTAGAACAGATAGAGAGAATGGACTCATCTGTTCAAGTTCCCTGCAAGTAGAACGTTATGCAAATCCCTTACTGTATGTTATTGTGATGTTGTGATCATTGACATGAGAGAATTGAGAATTTTTTTCAAGATGCAATTATTAAAATAAGGGAACACATTTTTAAAACCTGGGTCCTAAGCTGAACCTTCAAAAATGCCTGTGCACAAATGTTCATTTTCATGTGGAATTAGCCGATTTAGACATGAAAGCAGAAGCTGGGCATGCATGTTTACTTGTACATGTACATTTTTTGCAGCCACGGCTTAGAAACTGATTCTGTTTTGGAACTTAGTCTTGAATTAAAAGTTCGAAAAGGAAGATCGCTGACCTGCACATACCCTTAATTCATAAAACCTGTGCATCCCACCTACTTCATTACATCTTATCTTGTTTGTCATTGTCTGTTAACCAACAATAGGTCATCTAATAATGTTGTGCATGGAGTTTCTCACACACCTGAAACTATATGCACAAATGGTGGGTCATTAGGACGGATTCACAAATGATAGATGCTTAGTTCTAAGGAACATCTGATTTTATAGGAGCAACAGCAGCTCAGAAAGAGGGCATTTTAAAATCTGGACTCATGTAGCGATAGCATGGTAAAGAAGATACTGAAATCTGAATGGAAAGAAAAACATCTCTCCTGTGAAGGAAATTCTTTCTGACAAGTCATATTCAGAAATAGCTATTGAAAACAATGTGAAAATCTGTATAAAAACTGAGTAGGACAGAGCCCTATCATTCTTCTTTGGGGTTACATTTAACCTTAGATGCACAAATAAGCATGTCATCATGTACAATATTCTGTAATATCAGTGAATACTGTAGAGATGATTTAACAAGATCATACGTACCTTGAAATCTGGGTCAAACCTTGGTAATTTATATCCTTATTCTACTTATAAAGCCACATATATGTTAATTTTTTATTCTACTCAGCTACACAGAGACTATTTGACCAATATTCTTTAACGCACTTCACTGTCTTGAGTCAGTTACAACATTGTTATAGAATGGCTGCATCAAAGTTCACAGCCAAGTAACCTTCAGGAATCTTAACGCCCTAGTTCTATGAGTGCAGTATATTTCGATCAGTGACTTACGAAGATCATTTTTATGAATATTGATGATTTTGTAGGATACATTTTAATTAAACTGAAAATAGTATCATCTTCATTTATGAAAGACACTTTTTGTAATCATAAGAACATTCACCTGATGGAGAATGAAATTAACCCCTATTCACCACTTAAGGTTGTGTCTAAGTGGAATGTAAGTGCTACGTATGCCTTGTATTGGCTAGCTCCACAGAGCTGAATTTCACTTAAAAATATTTCCTCAGAATAAGAACATAAGAACATAAGAATGGCCATACTGGGTCAGACCAAAGGTCCATCTAGCCCAGTAGCCTGTCTGCCGACAGTGGCCAGCACCAGGTGCCCCAAAGAGGGTGGACCAAAGAAAATGATGAAGCGATTTTTCTCCTGCCATCCTTCTCCAGCCTCTGACAAACGGAGGCCAAGGACAGCATTTCTATCTCCTGGCTAATAGCCTTTTATGGACCTATCAGAGTATATCTGTTCTCCATATTGTGCCATGGAAGTTCCGGGGGAAATAATAATGGTGAGTTGTCAGTAGTTTGTCTTGCATATACAATTAATAGAAATGGGGCATACATTTGAACAAATACATTATTATATTAAAGGTTCTTCTTAATCAATATCTTCTATAACTATTGGTTGATATCTAATAAGGAGCAGGGACAAAAATGACTGAAATGATAATTTGGATGATAAACCAAATATCACATACCCAGTCTGACATGAAAAGTTAATCACAACACAACTAGTCAGCCTGTGCATACTACAGAAAGCACCAGAAAGTAAATTGAAAGCTGGTTTGAAAATGTTTTAAGCTACTATGCAATGTAATTCTTCTTTAGATTATATTCAATAGTTACTCACGTTATTGTAATGCATTTTGTAAATTTATATTGAAGCTGATGTATTAAAACGTACAATAGCATTTCAACAATATATATTCAGATATAACTATCAACAGGGTGTAGTCTAAAAACAATCAGAAGACTAATAAATTATGTATTTTGAAAGTCCTTGACAAAAGCAATAGAAAAGTTTCAGTTACAGTGAACTGAATTTCATGCTATAAATTGGTCCCCATATGACAAATAAGGTAAAAAGAAATTATTGTGTAGCTTGCACTCAGAATTTTAGCTTCAAGCTTGTAATTAATTTTTATTATTGAAAGCCATATACAAGCCTCTATCACTACTGAAATTTTAGGACAAATGTAACAATTAAATACAAGCTCTGTAAGCAAAGTCTGTGGTAAAATTCATATATGACATATTTGTACCTCATTAATATACAAAACCAGGGATGTTTTTAAATACATATAGTACTAAATGTTGTGCCTGAAATATGACTTCATGGTATATATTTTCCAAAATAATCTGGGTTTGTCTGTGTGCGTGTTTAAGCATTCACTCTGGTTTTGGAAGTAGGCTAGAACAGTGTTTCTCAACCAGTGGTACGAGTATCTTTAAGGGTACTTGAGAGAACTCTGGTGGGGGTGGAAATTTGAAGAAAACTGAATTTTTGTTCTAATTTTTACAGTGCTTTATTATTTTTGTACTTTTTGCACCCAAAAAATGTCATCACTCGCCCGGCTACAATTAAGTTGTTTAAACAAATGTGTTGCAATGGTAGAAAAAAATGGTGTGTCTGAAAACTGTAGGTACTGGGGATATTTTTTTTAAAGGGGTACTTTATAAAAAAAAAAGGTTGAGAAACACCGGGCTAGAACTTACATACATACAGTAAGTCACGGCTACAATAAAAACTTGTTACTGTGATTGGAGATGGAGGAAATGTAAAATCTGAATTCAGGTTCAGGTGTCTGTCTGGGGCTATGTCTTCTTTCAGAAGAAGCTTTTCCGGAAGAGATCTTCTGAAAAAACTTCTGAAAAAGCATGTCCCCACTGCCAAAGTGCATCGAAAAAGTGATCTGCTTTTTCAAAAGATAGCGTCCAGCCTGAATGGACACTATCTCACATTTAAACTGTGATTACTGTGGATGGAGTGGCCACCAGGGCATCTGTGCTTTTTCCTCTTTCCTCTTCTTCTGAACGAACTCCTTCTTCCCAGACCACACACATCTTTTTCCGAAAGAGTTCATTGAAAAAAGGCGTCTTCCTTGTAGAAAGTGCTTTACCAATGTTGGAAAAACCTCTCTGTTCTTTCAATTTTTTTTGAAAGAATATGATTGCAGTGAGGACATAAATGAAGTTTTGTTGAGAAAATGGCCGTTTTCTGAAAAAAATCTCTGTTGTGTAGACAGACCCTGACTGTTTGTATTCTTCTTTGAACTCATGTAATCTAAATCCTAATTCAGACTTTTTGACAGCAATAGGAACCTGTTTCAGATCACATATTTACAGGGATAAATCAACTCTACTGAAGCCAATGAAGTTACAGTGGTGCACGAGATAAATTTCAGAACCTGAATTCAAAGGGAATTGGATCATGGCGATCATCGCAAAAAGAAAAACCCTTCCTATATTTTTTCCACTCCAGGGCACAGATAGCAGAAATGAATGGTAGGGTGGAAAGCACAGTCATTTCAAAAACTCAACATTAGTTTGGTTCTTGATCCAATGGATCTAGGGTTCTTGATCCATTACTGTATTCAGACCAATTCATCCATCTCTCAGCTGAGATGCTGACTTGAGATAATATAGCCTGTGAATGAGTAACATTTGTATTTGAGATCCTAGAGATGGCTTTTGCATTTATAGATTTCACAATATAGAAATAGAAATAGATATCATCAGGAAAACTGGAAAAAGGACTTAACACAAAGTGACTAAAACTTTGCTACACTATTTTTGTGTCTTTTTGCAAATGCTGCACTGAAAAATGGTGCTGTTTTAATATGAGAAAATTTCAATATACTTTTTGTCAGTGTTCACCAATGCAATAAAAAATACTTTCAAACTTTTATGGTGCAATGTATAAAATGCTATAGTGCAATTACATTTGTGAAAGAAGAAGCAAATTACTACATCTTAAGAGTACATCTACACAGTAGCACATAGCTTGAAATAAGCTATGCAATTTGAGGTATGTAAATGGCACAGCTTATTTCAAGATAGCCTATTTCGAAATTTGGCACTGTCTGAAGAGTGCTAATTTCGAAATAGAGTGCTATTCCAATGAGTTCCTTAATCCTCATGCAACAAGGTTTATGGGACATCAGAATAAAAAGCCTGTTATTTCAAATGCATTTCAAAATAACAAGCTTGCTGTTAAGATGCACAGAATGCTATTTCAGGATAATGGACATTATTACAAAATAGCGCTGCTGGGTAGACATACCCTTAGTTTTTAAAAAATACTTTTTTGTTGATTTCCTCTTTCACTTTATTTCAAAATATTGAATTTGTTTGTAATTGTTCATAACTTAACAGTCACAACATTGTATCTACATAATTGATTTAAGATATCTGGAGAGAGGGATTTTCCTGTTTGTTTTGGCAACATTTTGCTACAAAACTCTGAAAAATATATCTTTCTATTTGGGTAAAATTTTCAATTAAAAGAAGCATATACACATCCAGCATTTGTTGTTGACCAATGTGGGTTTTGAAATGTTTCCAAAAGTAAGTGCTCAACTTTATTTATCTGCTTCAATAGAATCAAATGTATTTTGTTGAATATAAATTCTGTTCTGAACAGGGGCCTGTTCCAGAAATGAATTTGAACTAAAAGGACTACTCATGTATGATGGAGCAATACCTTTTTCTTTGTAAACATATTTTCAAAAGGTACATGAAAGCTAATGGCAGTGCACTCCAAGATTTTGAATCCAGTACATGCACAAGAACAGAATAATCATGTTTCTTATACTGATTGGCGATATATATTTCTGCTGTAGTGTCTGAGTCTACTCCCTGTAATGAGAAACCTTCAATTGACTTCCAGAGAAATAGGATCAAATACACAAACCGTACATTCAGAGCAACATCTGAAAGTTAATGCCACAAAGTGGACTTATGGTGGCAATGAAAAGTCTTCTAAAACTTTTATATGTCTACACTACGGGACAAAGTCGAATTAAGATACGCAACTTGAGCTACGTTAAGTGTGTAGCTGAAGTCAAAGTGGCTTAACTCAGCTTTTGGAGCTGTCTACACTGCAGGAAGTTGAAGGGAGAACACTCTTCCTTCGACTTCCCTTACTCCTCATGAAAGCAGTGTTACCGGTATTGACTGGAGTACCTCTCTCACTTCGCACTGTCTTAACTAGATTGCTAATTCAAAGCTGGGAAGATTGATGGCGTCAGCTTCAATCTTTCTCTGTAGTGTTGATGTACCTGTCAGGGACTCTAGCCCAGATGGCTCGGTTTGTTGTCTGACCGCAAAGAGACAAGCAACACCAGCAAAGTCCAATCATAAGCTCTTTATTGAAGAGTGCACACAACAATAGAGAGCGGCCCGTCTCCAAAGAGAACCAGCCGCGATTTTAGTAACAGGTAGGCTTATAAAGACAGTTCCGTCACGTCATAAGCTCTTCACCCAAGCCACTCACCCCCCTTTCTAAAACTTTTAATATCTATGCATATCTTGGCCAACCATTCATTGTGGCCAGAAGCGCTTCATAATGCATCAGCAACTTTCTTATCAATCACAAAAGGCAGGTACCGGGAACAAGGAGACAAGGGAGTCGGGCACAAACAAAGGGCAAAAACAGGGAGGTGAGATTAGCGAAGGGGAGCAGAAACAGGGAGGTACTGACCAGTTCCCAAAGCAAGCCGCAGTAGGTACAAATATGTAATTTATCACTTATCTTACATTTTATAACCTAAGCCAGCATGGAGGGTGCGCCTCTGTTTGAACCACATTCCTGGTTCTGGTCAAGAATACTCAGAGGCCTATGAAATTAGCTTTGTTAACTTTCCTTAGCATAATGTTGACCAAGCCTTGTTTTTCTGGGCCCAACATACCCTAAAGAGATTAATCAGCTTGGAGCTTTCAGAGGGCTTCCATTTCATTGCACCCTATTCCATTTAGACCTAGTAATACTGAACTAAAGTAATAACTGCCACATGACTGTTCAAAGGTCTGTGAAATAAGTTTTGGTCTCACTGTAGATCCCAGTGGGCAAATGTTCCATAATACAAAAGCCATGAAGTTGACATTAATAGACATCCTCTTGGCAGTCTCTGCAGAGTCAGCGATTTAATGAGTATGAAGGCTAAACTACACTCTCATTCCCTAGAAAATGATCCAGAAGAGAGGACAGGCACATTGACTAGACAATCTGGGCTAACTTGTAATGAATGAGTATGTGGTACTCTGGATGTGAGTTCTGAGGATACAGATAAGACTTCAATCCCCAGGACAATTTTGCATCTCTCACAAGTAACATTTCCTTTCTAACTCCTGGTGGATTTTTGTGTTTCATTTTTTCTCCTCTGATATGTTTTTTCCTCTTGATGGAAGAAAGCCCCAGTTTTATTATCTAGCAAGATATTTCCTTATTCATCATAAGGAAAGGGATAAAGATATTACTCCAAAGTTTGTAGGTCATTATTTTGGTCATATAGCCTGAATTTTGCAAATATTCTTCATAGTTCAGGTGGTGAAAAATGTATAATCCTAAAATATTTTTATTTGTGTCATGGAAATACTGCTCCTGTCTTAGTGGATAGCAGGAATATTTGCATATGGAATAGTTATAGAAAACAAAATCCAGGTTTCTATTTTCTTCTCTTTT